CAATCAGCATTATATGTCAGCCACACTTAATGCAGTTCATAAAAACACATAATTAGCAGCAGCTAAGCTACCTGTCATTTAATGGTGGTTTTGTCTGGTCAGGAGTTCCAGGTGTGTGTCATGGTGGCTCAGGCGGCGCTAACGTGGCGTGTATGATGTTTATACCCAGGCTTCACACGCACGTTTGCCCTCGCAGTCAGGTAACCCTGCGTCTCCGGGCTGCCCCGTGCTGTGTCTGAATGCATGCCCTGCGATGGACTGGCATCTTGTTCAGGGTGCCCCCCCCCCCCCCCCCCGCGTCTCGCCCCCATCTTCACACAGTAGTTCATCTTCCCCTCTCTGTACAGATAACTCTGACGTTCTAAAGTTAGCCTGCAAGAGGGCAGGCAGGTTAACCACAAATCACAGAGAAAAGCAAAAGTTTTCCATGATGGACTCGGGCCTGGATAAAGTGGTCCCCCCCCCCCGACAGAGCGTACAGTAAGTCCATACTGGCAGGCTTACGCGGCGGTTTCCCGTGCTGAGTCACTGCCCCGTCGGAACATCGACTTCACTCTGGAAGCCGTAAATCTCTCCTCTAGTGTCCTTTGCACAATAACATAACCTGCGCTATATACGCAAACTCACCATCGCAAATCCGGCAAATACCCGCCTGCCAGTGGAGCGGCACCTTCACGGACCCGATCCTCACCGGTCCTCTTGCGGCCCGTCCAGGTACACACAAACGCCACGCTCCGTCTGCTCCCTGCGCTGCCTGGAACCCGGGCGGGATTTATCGCTCGTAAAATAGCGTCCTGTTTCTGGAACCGGACCAGGCTGGGGAGGCAGAATCCATGGCACGCGTAAATTCAGCCCGATTTGCGAATGCCCCCCTGAGCTCGTCTTTGTCGGATTCTTTGCTGACACCTAACCCCCCCTTCAGAACATTTTCACAGCTGCAGATTTCACCGGAACAATCGAGGCTAAGTATCGTGCCCTAGAGTACAAGAGCGGGGGCCCCTCCTGGGACGGGCGCAAGTGTATCCAGCCATACCCGCTGTACTATATTATCCTCAAAGTAACACCATGACTAGCCTTAATGTTTAACAACGTGCGAAAAGGCGGCCTTTAAATGTTGTTCCCGACCTCGCAGTCAAACATCGTCTGGAAGCTTTAATTTAGCGCACAATCTACTTTAAGCTGACAGCGATTCCCCCCCCCCCCCCAAAAAAGCGACACCACAGTTGAAGCGAGTGAAGCGATCCAGCCCTAAAACTTTTAACGTCCCTGTTAGCATGCCGGGCTAATCACATGGTTATGGCCCGTCAGTAACAGCTTGGAACAGAACGTATCCCAGGGCATCAGGCTCACTGTAAACGAGCTAAACGGCTAACATGGCTGAGGTAGGGGGGAAACCGGGTCTCCCAGCAAGTGGGCGATGGATGATGAGCTGGGACCAGTAAACAATAGCAAAGAGAGGTGGCTTTTTGGATGGGTCAAATTAGTCATCAGCACAGATCTTTTGCCGAGGTTCTGGACGCTGAAGGCCCCCGGACACTTACAGCTCCGTCCACCTGCCCCTAAATTCCACGCAAAGTGGTCAGCGAGCGTTTGACGTGTCCCTCATTATCTGGGAATGCTGCTGTGGTCTTGGGCCCCACGGTTACTCCACCGTGCATAATTCCCAGACAAAATCGGGCCCCCATGATGCTGTAAAGCCACCCCCGGGATAACTTCCCCAGTTGTTCCCCCTGAGATGGTGGCCTCAGTCATCAGAACTGTGGCAGGAGATGATGCAACCATGACACCCACCACCCTGTAGCAAGCGGTTCTGGGGATGGCACTGATTGGCAGACCGCAGACCAGAGCATGTGAGCGGAGTGGAGCGGAGCGTGAGTGAGGAGCGGAGCGTGAGCGAGGAGCGGA